CGGCACCCCAGAGTCGTTGCCGAGTATAGAGAGGCGCTGGCCCAGCTGACCTCGAAATGTCTGGACATGACGCAGCTCATACTGTCCGCCCTATCTCGCGCCTTTGATCTCCCAGCCCAGCACTCCTTCGAGTCCCGCCACGACTCTGTCACCTCCCCGCTCGACTCCGTGCGCCTGCTCCGGTACCCCCGCGCCATCGGCGGCGACGACGACGGCGTGTTTCGCATCCCGCAGCTCGCCCACGCCGACATGGGTTCCCTCACCTTCCTCTTCACGTCCTCGCCCGGGCTTCAGATCCTCCCGGCCGGCGCGACGCACCGGCAACACGTGCTGCCGCTGCCCGGATGCGCCATTGTCCACTTTGGCGACGCGCTCAAGATGCTCAGCGGCGGCCGCATCGAGAGCGTGCTGCACCGCGTCGTCACGACCCCTGGGAGCCAGGTGCTGGACCGGTACAGCTTTGCGTTTCTGGTACGCCCGGAGCCCTCGGCCGGATGACGGCATTGCCGGGTCTTGGCGGCGAGGGGCGCGAGCAGGCCGGGCTGGACATGACGTGTGAGGACTGGGTCGCGATGAGATTCAGCCAGCTGCGGGCCAAGTAGTCGTCTGCTCGGGTTTTTACTCTTGCTCGAGTTTGTTCAGTATTCGAGAATAGGAACCTTTGATCTTGTTGAATATACAAGAAAATCTCATCTAGCTATGCAGCTTCTTGCCGACAAGATAGTCGTAGTCAGGCATCGCCGCTCGGACCCAGCCTTCAATCCTCTGCCCAATCTGCTCGCCAAACTCGGCCTTCCACTTCTCCGCCTCTCCCGCCATCGTCAGTCCCTCAAACGATTTTCCTCTCGCAATGCCCGATGACGAGTGCAGGGTGCCGCACGTCTTGGTCCGGACAGGGTCCAACGCGGTCCGCTCCTCCTCAGTCAGAGGTTCCCAGTGAAACTGCGCCTTTTCCTGATCGAGTCCGACAGCATCACAAAAGCGCAGCACCACCTCGGGACTGCGCAGCATGTCGTCGGCGTCGATTATCACGGGCTTCTTGACTTCCTGTCCCAGCGCTGTCCACGCCGCTGTGTACCAGTCGTAGAGCTGCCTCGTCCAGCGGAGCGTCGAGGACAGGGCCGCGAACGGCACCATCTCCTTTTCCATCCTGGCCAGGTCGCCGTCGCAAAAGGACTGCGCGAGGCGATAATAGGACGGAAATGCCAAGGCGGGGTGCCGGATAAGAAAGGCAGGCTGGCAGCGCAGCAAAAACTCCTCGGGCAGGACCGAGAGACTGGGAGGCAGGCCCGGTGGACACGCGGCGTCGCGGTATCGCGGCGGGATCTCGACCCTCCAGAGCGCCGTGTCGCTTGGTGAGACGTGGAGGAAGGCGGACACGGCATGAGGTGAGGTGATAAAAGGCGCGTGTTCCCTTATAACGGCCATTTTGCCGTGCTGCTCGGCCGCGTCGAGCAGCGACTGTAGCGCGTCGTAGCTGGACTGGTATTTCTGCCGCAGCGTCTCTGTTTCAGCCTCGCTCCATCTGGCGTGCGGCCGGTGCAGCAGCCCAGCGCTGTTCATGCTGGCGGCGGCGGGGTGGAAGAAGAGTCCGCCGCGCTCGACAGAGACGACGTTGGGCTGCGCGGGCAGGTTGAGCACCTTGACCAGCAGATTCGAGGCGGAGCGCGGGTAGGTGATTAGAAGAAGAGGCTGTGTTCCTGCCTGTGCTTCAGTCATGGTGGTGAGCTTTCGTATATGCGTTGGTTGGTATGACTTGGCCAGGACGAGATGTTGGTGACTGCAGCACGACAGAGAGCACTACAGAGAGCACTACAGAGAGGGAAGAACGGTAGATAGGGAAGCGACAAGATGGATAGGCATGAGTGAGCTGATCTGCCAGGTCTTCGTCTAGGCCAGCTGAAACTGACGGTACATGGGCCACTGAGACAATGTAGGTGGTGTTGTGCAAGCTGAGGTTGCGTCGAGCAGCGAAATCGGCGGCACTCCAGCGTTGTATTCTCGTCTTTCAAGTAGCAAATGGATGATGATACATACAAGACAAAGTACAAGCCAGCACTGGCAGTCAAGCATGTCGGCGATTTGTACCTGAGTGTAACTCATGTCGGTAATTCGGATCAAGGCCACATCCCAAGAGCTCCGGCTTCGAGGGCAACCCCGTCTTGGAAGTCAACGATCAAGGGGCAAGTGTTCACATCGATTCACTTATCGATATTAAAAAACACGTCACTTCCTGGGATACCCGCGCCAAACTCTCCGTCTGATGCAGCTGTCCATACTGTCTTCCCAGTCAAGTAATCCACCCTGTGTAATCTTTGCGGGGTTGCTGGGGAAGGCTGTTTGTCAGGTGGGCAAAAATGATGACTCTTAGGATCCTTCAGAGTCATCCAGTCCTTTGTATGAAACAAAGCATCTCAACCAACAAAGGCCGTGTGCTGCATCCCCGCGTAGTGCCAGATGAAAGGGGTGCCAATAAGCAGTGACTCCTTCCTTGTTCAGTGACGCAGCAGCCAGTGAGTCAGAGACGCCTATTTGGGAGATGCGCCCTGTGCGAGTTAGCGCCCGCCGGGTGTAAATTTTCCGCCCCCCAAAAGAAGAAGCCCCGCCACACGAGGCGCCCCACCAAAACGCACAATCGCCAAAATTTCAAACTCGCCCAGCTTGAATCCAAGAGCCAGGCCGTGAATATAATCCGCCCGCCCCCCTCTCCTGCCCTGGCCCCTCGTCGAACAACCTCGCCAGCCCAGACTCTCTCATCGACACTTCAAAGAACACGGGACCGAACTACATTCCACCGCCATCATGAGACCTATTCTCCTCTCGGGCCACGAGCGTGCGCTCACCCAGATTAAGTAGGTCCCCCGCCCAATGAGGGGCGACGAGAACTCAAGCAGTGTTGAATCATGGTCCACGGTCGAAGCTCAATCCTCTGCCGTGCTCCAGATCCTGCCCTCCTCCTGCGACTCTGCTTGTTCTCGTCGCCATGTACCGACCGACAAACTAATCACCCTGCCCCCCCCTCCAGGTACAACATCGACGGCGACCTCCTCTTCTCCGTCTCCAAGGACCAGGCCATCTGCGCCTGGTACGCGCACAATGGCGAGCGCCTCGGCACCTACACGGGCCACGTCGGCGCCATCTGGACCGTCGACGTCGACCCCACGTCGACCATGATCGCCTCGGGCTCCGCCGACAATACCATCCGTCTCTGGGATGTCAAGACGGGCAAGTGCCTCAAGGTCTGGGAGTTCCCCACGGCTGTCAAGCGCGTCGAGTTTAGCGAGGACGGCACCAAGCTGCTCGGCGTCACCGAGAAGCGCATGGGCTTCCTCTCCAACATCATCACGTTTGACATCAACCCCGACGTCACCGCCGAGCAGACGGACGAGCGCTCCCTCACCATTGTCTGCGACGAGAGCAAGGCCACCGTCGCCGGCTGGAGTGCGCTCAGCAAGTACATCATCGCCTGCCACGAGGACGGCAGCGTCTCGCAGTTTGATGCCAAGTCGGGCGACCTGCTCGTCAACTACCCCATCCACGACCTCAACCAGCCCATTGTCGACATGCAGTGGTCTCCCGACCGCACGTATTTCATCACCGCCAGCAAGGACAAGTCTGCCAAGGTATGCGATCCTGCCATGTTTTTCCACGTAGCACGCGACTGACGGAACCCCTAGCTCATCTCGACCCGCGACCTCGAAATCCTCAAGACGTACCCCGCCGATACCCCCCTCAACAGCGCCGCCATCACCTACAAAAAGGACTTTGTCATCCTCGGCGGCGGCCAGGCCGCCATGGACGTCACCACCACCTCGGCCCGCCAGGGCAAGTTCGAAGCGCGCTTCTACCACAAGATCTTTGAAGACGAGGTCGGCCGCGTCCGCGGCCACTTTGGCCCCCTCAACACCGTCGCCGCCGACCCCACCGGCCGGAGCTACGCCAGCGGCGGCGAGGACGGCTACGTCCGCATCCATCACTTTGACAAGGGCTACTTTGATTTCACCTACGAGGTCGAGAGGGAGCGCAACAACAGACTGCAGTAAATCAACACAGCAAGGGAGGGTTTTTCCTGAAAATGTAAGAGGCCAATGTAGGCTTCTTCTCGTCTTTATCAACGCTTTTCGGATTCTATGCGCCAAAAACTTGTGTATTGACACGAGCTCCCGAGGATGAAATCGCGAATTACCTTCAACACCGTGCTCGAGCGAGGTTGGACGGAGACGCGAGGGACGATGCGAGGGGCGGCACGTGGATGACAAAACGCGCAAGATGAATTCCCTGAGGCAAGCTTTTTAAAGAGCCTTGTTTTCTTTAAATCTCCGTGGGCTTGCATATCATTTCGGCGTTACTTAATGTTGATATTTTTTTTTGGTTTTAACGGCGGCGACAGTTCAAAAAGGGCAAAGGGCAATGTGATTTTATTTTCTGTGACTTTTTCTTCCCTTGATTCTTGTCGCCGTCGATCTGCTTGGAATAGAGCAGGGGGGGGTTAGAGACCAGAATTCCCCTTGCGTTTTACATCACGAGTGGGATGGGAAACCGCTGTCAGGACGAAGCGGAGTAGCATGGCATGCCGCCGCCCATGGATGCTTAGATATGAGGTATATCCAACGATAAAAGAAATGAATGAACTCGGCAAATGCAACATTTTGTTCGGTGATGCCCTCCATCTATTACTACTAGGTAGTCCAGTAGGTGGATTAGGTCACAACATGACAGTCTACCAAGACGAAATTTATTAACCTTGAGTCGTAAGCGCAAAATGTCAATTATTCTCAAACACCAACCCTAAAAAAAAAATGAGGCGTTCTCGATTTTCGTTTCTCCCCTCCAAGTCCAAACCCTATTACAAATAAACAGCAGTACACACTCTGTCGAGTCAATAACTGAAAATTGACAGCATACAAACCACCCACAATGAAAAAATTCTAATACCCACCCTTGACCAGACATGAACAGCACCCTTCAATTACGTGATTCCGTCGATTCTCCAACTTGTTCTATTTCTTGGATTTCTTCTTCTTACCAGCATTGGAGTTGCTGGACGCCACGCTGGACGCGCGGGATGGCGCGGCAGAGCTCGCCTTGCTACCCTTGCCCGACTTGGACTTGACATTGTCGAGGGCCTTGTTCTGTTCGGGACGTTAGTATTCCGACCAAGACTTTTCTGCTTTGCGGGGCAAAGACATACCTTGACGCCATTCTTAGACTTCTTCTTGGCCGGCATGCCTAGGATGCTGTCCTCGTCATTCTCCTCTTCCGGCTCGCGCTTGGCCTTGTTATTGGAGCCGTTGGTGCCACGCCCGGCGCTGTCCTCAAATTCCTTGACGACGGTCGTGATGAGGGTCGTGCAGCGGCGCGACAGCTCCACGGGCGTGCGGCTGAGGAAAAACCAGTCGAAGCGGAACAGCGGCGACTCGCGAATGTCGTCGCGCATCTTCTCGTACAGCCCGTCCGAGTCGATGCCGTACTTGTCCAGCAGCACCAGCAGGAAGCGGTCCTCCTCTTCCGTGTAAACCTTCTTGTTGGTCGTCGACACGGAATAGTTGATCTTGAGCTGCTGCAGCGGTACGCGGTATTGCTGCATCTTCTTGCGCAGGAGCTTGCGCTGCTGCTCGATGCGGCGTGTGCGCTCCTCGCCGTCCTCAATGACCTTGATGTGCTTGCCGTAGTCGGCGATTTCCGTGTATCGTTGCCAAAAAACTTTGGCGTATTCTTTAATTTCCGAGGCTGTCTTGCTGCCGATTTCGGTAGCGATTCCATGGTAGTCGCTGCGACCAAATTTTCCAGAGCCATTGATGAACTGTTGGAAGTCTCGCTTGCTCCAGTTTCCAAAGCCTTGTGTTGACAGCTCCTCCTTCTCCTCACGCTCCTCCTCGTTCAAAGGTGTGGCATTGTCGATTTCTTGCTGATCTAATGCCCGCTCAGCCTCGCGATCAGAGAGTGTCTCTTCCTCGCCATCGGATAGGACGACCTTGTAGCCGATTTCTTTGCGATAGTAGGCTGTTTCGCGCTCTTGGAGCTCTTGGAGTCTGGCCGGGTAGAATTGGTAGTCGTGGACTGGAATCTGTCGGGGTGCCCTGGGTGCCTTGGGCTTGCCGTCATTCTTCGGGTTCGGGTACATAGCCTGTCGGAAATACTTGTCCATCGAATATGACTGCTCCTTTCTCTCTCGCTTTGCAGGATTGATCCAGGTCATGCCAATATCTTTTTTGGTGTTGGCAAAGTTTTCACCGTTCCATTCATAGGCAGACTCTGAAGAAAATTTCTGCAGGTCATCGAGACCAAGCTTCTCGTACTTGGCGTTGAGCTCCTTGGTACGAGACGCGCCCTGGTTCAGGATAGCATCTATATCATCTTCCTTCATGTCATCGTCGTTGCCGCCCGCTGAGGCCTTTGCTTGGAAGACCGTCTCTGCACCATGTTGAATCATGGACAGGAGCTCATCTTTGTTAGCGGCAGCCTTGGCACCCTGCTGGGCCCGGCCTTGCTGAATGACGAGCTGATCAAGGCGGAGCTTCTGTGCTGCTCTTTCCAGAACCTTTTCTTCGATGGCATTGTCCGTCACAAAACGATACACGACCACTTGCTTTGTCTGGCCGATGCGATGCGCACGATCCATGGCTTGCAGATCGGCTTGAGGGTTCCAATCACTATCGTACAGAATAACAATATCGGCAGACGTCAGGTTAATACCAAGACCACCAGCTCGCGTGGTGAGCAAGAAGACGAACTTTTCGGAGCCGGGCCTATTGTAATCATCAATGGCAGCAATACGGTCCTCATGCGCAGTGCTACCATCAATACGGCAGTATTTGTACTCTCTGAAGACACAGTAATCTTCAAGGATATCCAGCAGTCTACTCATCTGAGAAAAAATGAGCACTCGACTTCCCTGGGCCTGAAGACGCTTCAAGAGTCTGTCCAAGACCTTCATCTTGCCGGCGTTGTACACCAAGTGTTCATCCGTGGTGTAGGGAGGGCCCGGTTCGGCACCTTCGAAGAGATACGGGTGGTTGCAGCACTTTCGCAGCTGCATCACGATGTTGAGCAATCTCGTCTTGGATTCGCGTTTGCCACCGGCGCCGTTGACAGCGTCGATGTCTTTTTCGAGGATCTTTTGGTACCACTTGATCTGCATGTCGGACATGCCAAGATAGAGGTTGATTTCTTGCTTGGGCAGGAGACTCTTCTCGACATCACTCTTGACACGTCGGAGCAGGAAGGGACGAAGCACGCGATGCAGCTGCTGAACGACTGTGTCTTGGTCGCGGTCTTCACCGGAGAACCATTGATCAAAGGCTTCGGAATCTCCAAACACATCAGGCAAAAGGAAGTTGAGAAGTGCCCACAGCTCGTGCAAGTTGTTTTGGAGGGGTGTGCCAGTAATCAGCAGTCGGTTTCGCGAGTTGAAGAGTCGAATAACTTGCGACAGAGATGATTCTTCGTTTTTGATGCGATGGGCCTGCGGCCACGATTAGTATGGCAGACAAGTATTTCTCTTGTTGTGCACTCACCTCGTCGATAATGATGTATTCCCAGGCGAACTTTTTGAGATGCGACTTTTCGCGCAGCACCATTTCGTAACTCGTAATGCAAACGTCAAACTTTTCGTCAACTAGGCGATCATTGATGAGGTCGTGACGCTCTTCTTTGGCACCTTGGAGAACAAGAACATTGACCTCTGGTGTCCACCTGGCAAATTCTCGCCTCCAGTTGTCAAGAGTAGACTTGGGCACGATAACCAAATGGGGGCCCGTAATGTCGACGATGTGGCGAAGATAGCCGAGGAAAGCAATTGTCTGCAGGGTCTTGCCAAGACCCATTTCATCAGCCAAAATACCAGAAATACCATTTTCGTGTAGTGAGATGAGCCAGTTCAAGCCTGAGACCTGGTAGTCGCGCATTTGGCCCTGGATAAAGCCGGGGGACTCGCGGAAGACAGTCTCGGCTGAGCCACCATGCTTTTCGTCCTTGAGAAGCTCTGCATCTTCCTCAGCTTCTGTGCGGCGTCTTCTCTCACTGGTAGCGCCGCCCTGTCTGGGGCCAGACTTTTTTCCATGCGTGGCCTCCTCATTTTGTCTATCGATTTCGGCCATGATGTCGCGAATCTGGGGGTTAGGGTTCGTTTCAATGAAGTGGCGAAAGAGGTCAGTAAGCCCGAGGAGATATCGGAAACGCCGGATTGTATCGTCTTCCTGTGTTGAAAGTTAGAATCGACGGAATGGCTGTGGATGCATGCGAGGTTGGTCGCAAACGGCGTCGCTGCGTACCTTGGACTCGCCCAGGCGGTCGTGTTTCTTGCCAAATATACTACGTCGCAGGGCTGTAGCCTCTGATCTACGCTTTCTGCCATCGCCAATAGGTTCGCCAGCTACGCTGCTCGCTGTGGTGTTGGGGTTGGTATCGGAATCGGTGTAGTCGGGCGTCTCATCGACCTGCTGCGGGTGCTGTCAGCGACCGAGCTAACTTGTTTTGTGCACAGATGGAAGAGACAAACCTTTCTCTCAGGATTGCGAGGAGCGGGCGCATCCGACATTGACGCGTCGGTGTCGACGGCGTCGGCTTGGAGCATCGGCGCCATGTTGGCAAGCGAATTTTGGGTAGACCTCTATACGCGACAGTGCGTCTCTGGACGCGTCCAAAAAGGGCCGTTGACCAGCTCTATCGGAGGGCTAGAATAGAGGAGTAGCGATGTGGATAAGCACGATGATGAACACGGGACGTCGCGAGGGGTAGTGGTGTGGAATAGCGATATTCTTATGTTTGGATCGGCCAAGGTGGTTTTTTGCCAGGAGTCTAAGTGGAATCTTGAGTTGCACATTCAAGAGCTGGCGCAGTTGTGGTTTAGCGCGCGCCCGGAACTGCCCAGACGTGGGGAGCAGCCTGTTAATAAAAAGGTACGTACCCTACAGCAATATCTGGATAATAGAAATTCCGGTGCGTCAGGCGTTTGACACGGCTTGTAAAAAAAAATAGAATATTTTCAACACGTGCTAGCAGCCTGACAGTCTTGCTAGGCGGGAATGTCCAGAAACAGGCCCCGGGCGCGTAGCGTAGCTAGGCACCAGGTACCTCGTTCCTTCGTCACAGCAGCCCTACATCCGCAGCCCGTCAAGCGTGGCTTACGCAACAGCAGAAGAGAACACAGAAAAATAGGAAAATTCAGCATTCCTTACTTGATCAATTGGATATGAACCCGCGTTTTGGCCCTGGCTCAGCTCTTCTTTCTCCGTCCTCCTCTAGTTATTTAGGACCTACATGAGCCATCCAAACGCCAGTTTCTGCCCCGCCGGTTTCTGTACCCCACCACGCCCAACACCGCCGTACCCTACACCTTTCTAACTAGGTAGGTAGGTAGGTAACTATTCTACATGCCTTAGTAATAAACAAGTCAGTGCAAAGGGTAAATCGAGCCGTTAAAAACATGGCGTAATATATGATTATATACGCGATTTTATCGCCAATCCCGCCTAAATTCTATCGGCGTTGAGCATAATCTATCAAAGATTCGCCCCCGTAATCGTCACGTGTAAAATTATGCGTAGCGAGCCTCCACATGCCCACCTGGCTAAGCCTCCGCGACTTTTCCGTGATGTTAGGCTAATAAATCCTAGCATCAGCAAGCACCTCTGGCCCGTGGCGAATACAAGCGAAACTACGACAAACACAGGGTCATCACTCATTCAGAGGCCGTACACTGGCCGCTATCAACTCTGCAACAGCGTCTTTCAGCAAATCTAGCATATCCTTGCTCGAATCTCGGTATCAAGGGTTAGCCAATCGCCAAGCGGGGAATTAGGCTCCTGCGTCTCCTTTGCACGACCCAACAACATTCCACAGGCCCGCGTGCCCCCAGCGTGGAATTTTGTATTCACAGCGTGTGCTGTGAAACACTGCAGCCAAGAAAAACCGGCAACACCGACTTCAGCGAACATGGACTCTTCCAGGAACACGGCTGGCAGCAGCAAGCAGGCCATGGGAACTGAGACACGCGAACAGCTCCTCGACGTCTTCAAGGCCGCGGCACTCTCCGTCACCAAACTCTACAAGACATCCGCCCTTGCCGAGTCCAGAGCACGCGCCGACGGCTACCAGGAGTGCCTCGAGGACCTGCTCGGCTTCCTTGACAAGGAAAATATGGGACTATGCGATGGTGAGGGGTGGCAAATGCGACGGTGGGCGACCGAGCGGCTCGACGGCCGCGACCGCGCTCTCCAAAGTACCGAAAGCGAAGACGAGACGGAAAAGGCGGCCGAACGAACAGCGTCCCCCGAGATGACGCGGACGAGTGTCGAACCCCCGCAAACAACCACGCGGTCTAAGGGCGACTCCCCGGCGCCGACTGGACAGGCGCGTCTCGACGAGCCAACACACTTTGTTGTGCCCTCGCAGGAGTTTACCTTTCAGTCCACACACTCGTATCCCAACATTGCTACCCTCGACCTCTCCGACTCACGACCACATGACACGCCTACGTTTCCGGCGGGACGAGCGGCCAAGACACGACTAAACGGGCCTGCATCGGCTCGTCTGCGCACAGCCGGCCACTTGGGACGAGGAGCAGGCGCCAAACGCCGTGTGAACTTTGACGACTTCTTCGGCGGCTGCTTCGGCGGCAAGGATCCGCTGAACCCCGGCAGCAAACGTGGTAGACACACATGAAAGTGTTTTAGCGACAAACGCTGGAAGGAGGACGACAAACATGACTAATCACGCTGAATCCAGGCGCATCTTTCGAACATATAGTCTGCAAAGGACGGGAAGGGACGATACACAGCGGCATCTGTACATACGGGGCTTCCGGGAATTCGCGCCAAACGCTTCTTTAGAATACGCCTGGTTTCGTGGATCGAGTCCACCGGAGAGGGAGGATACCTTAGCATCTGGCATACTGCGGAGTTTTTTTTGTTTCTGGTGGCCAAGCACTTGACCTTTCCGCGGACGGAAATGGTCATCCTTGGACTGTCTTTAAAGCGATGAGATGAAGAGGATGAAATGACGGACATGATCTCGGCGCACCACGAGTTTAGGCATGGATGGCATATGATATAGAATAGACTTATTCATCGTTTCACACATCAAATCCATATTCGTGCATGAAGCTGTCTTGTACATTGGCCAAACGGCCTGGAAATATGAGAATCGTAAATCATACATAACACCCCGCCGCCTTTCAGGGAGTAAAAGCAAAACCGTAGAGCCTTATCTAGCCCGGGAAACTCAGTGCTGCAACGAAGAGTGGCGTTGCCTCGCGTCGCGGCTCTGGTCGTGGGACTTTGCGACGACGGAACGGAGATGCTTGTTCTCGGCCTCGAGGTCGTCAATGTGGTGCTCGAGCATCTCCATGCGCTCGGCGGCGCCGAGCACCACCTCTTCCGAGATCTTGGCCAGACGCCACAAGCGCAAGACGACGAGCAGGGAGCCGATGGACTCGGCCGGGCCGCGCATGCCAATGTCGATGAGGAAGCTGAGGACAATGATGGTGGCGTCGAAGAGGTGAAACTTGTCGGAGAGGTATCTGTTGGGGAAAACGCTTGGGTTAGTATGTGTGATTGCAAAGAAAACAGGCACAAGAAAAAAAAGGACAACGGACCCCCAACCAAATGCGTAAATACAGGCGGCGAGCTCGACGACAAATGCGGTGCTAAACACCAGGCCGACGACTTCGAGCGTCGTCGTCGCCGTCACGACCCACGGCTCGTCGGCCTGGTGCGTCTCGCAGGCAATGAGCTGCAGGAAAATGTTGGCAAGCAGCGTGGCGACGTCGAGCGCGACGATGCCCATGACGAGAAAGTGCTTGCGGCGCGAGGCGAGCGCGCGGGCGCAGGCGCGACGCCACGAACTTGTCGAGACGGCGGCGTCATCGTAGTTGTTGTCGTCGTCGTCGCCGGGGGCCGCCGGCGCCGGCGCTGCCTCGACGTCGTAGGTGTGGTCGGGGTCGTCGTGATAGGTTGGAGCGGGCTGGTGGTTTCGCTCGCTGCCGCCGAGCAGAGGGGCTGATGCGGCCGCGGCCGCCGGGGGTTGCTGTTCGGCCATGGAGATGGGGTCGAATACTACGGGTCACAATGGTGTATGCGCACGCGGGGTGATGATGTTGCAAAGTGGCAAACGGTCGTCGTTGCCAAGTACCTGTTGATGGACTGTGGGGTAGAAAAAAGGGAGAGAATTATAAATAGGTAGAGGCTTGGAGAGCGATTAATATGTCCATCCTCGGCTCCGACGAGACTAGACCATGAACACAGTGAAACGCATAACAATGGTTTCCTGGGGTGGCTCGGCAGGTGTTTGTCGAGGGCGGCACTGGCTGGCTGGCCCCCGCGCTGTCGTCCAACACGTTTGGCTCTCCCCGTCAAGACTTTCATCAAAAAATGGCGGCGCTGTTACTGGAACACGGCAATGATCTTTTCCTGGGATGCATTGAAAATTGGCCACGATGTTGTTTTCTCGCCGAGCCATCGTCATGTTATGGGAGTGTACATATCTGTCAGCTAATATCGTACCTGTCAAGCGGTGGACAGCCCGGCCGGTGCAGGTCTCAGATGCTGACAGCCCGGTTCTCGGGGAATAGTCATGTGTTTTGTCGGCAGCTGAGGGATCGTAATGCAATCTTCCTTGTTCCTTCAGCATGAGCGACCGTTTATGAGCACTACGGCAGCGTAAAAATATAGGGCAAAGTGTGCAAGGACCTGGCTACCTACCTACCGTACCTAAGTACCTAGGTAGGTACATGCAAGCATTTGTTGTCGCAACACTTCCTTTGCGGACAAGGAGTGCAGAGTCTACCACAGAATGAAAATAAGAATCGATATTAGAAATACTTTGATCAAACCTCGATAATGATCTTGATAATCTTGATAATGCCGTCTTGTTCGCAGTTTCAGGTAGTCTGTGCATCCACCCCACACTAGTAGCGGCCGTCGACACCGCCAAAAATTTCAGAAATTCTGCCACTGCCCAAATCTTCATCCAACCACCTGCATCCTTCACACTACATACCTCAACTCACCAACGACACAGCCTGCGAAATGTCGTCTATGCGCAATGCCGTCGACCGGCGCGTTCATCGCGAGCGTGCGCAGCCCCTCGAGCGCCGTCGCCTCGGCCTTCTCGAGAAGCACAAGGTTCGTACCGCTCTCCGTCCCATTACTGCCGAGCCTTGCCTGACCACAATCTTGCCGCAAACAGGACTACTCCAAGCGAGCCAAGGACTACAACCAGAAAAAGGCGCAGCTCAAGTCGCTACGCGCCAAGGCCGCCGACCGCAACGAGGATGAATTCTACTTTGGCATGATGTCCCGCAAGGGTCCCGGCTCCCGCATCATGAACGGCAAGAACTGGACCGGCACCGTCGCGGGCTCCCGCGGCAACAAGGTTCTAGATATGGAAACGTCGCGGCTGCTCAAGACGCAGGATATGGGCTACGTTCGCACCATGAAGCAGCTGGCGAACAAGGAGGTCGCCAAGCTGCAAGAGCAAGTCGTCATGACGAGAGGCATGGACCGCCTGGACGAGGACGACGAGGACGACGAAGACGAAGAGGAAAACGGCTCCGACAGCGATGATGACGAAGAGCCTGCACGCAAGCCGACAAAACAAAAGGCCGCGCGAGTGATTCGCTTCTTTGACGACGAGGATGCGCAAGAGGACGCCATGGAGGCGCAGCTGGCCCTGGAAGAGCGAGACGCGGACCACGAGGCCGAGGGCGACAAGAAGGGGAGCGAGCAAGAAGAGGAGCGGGAAACGTCTCTTCGCAGACTGAAGCGACAACTGAAGACGGCGCGCAAAAAGGTTAGGGTGCTCACGGACGCCGAGGAGGCTCTCGAGGTGCAGCGCGCGAAAATGGCCAAGACGGCGACGTCGGGCGGCTCGACGAGGCGCGGCAAGAAGCTCATGGTGCGTACGCGCAAGAGGTAGAGGATGCTGTGATGGATGGACTGTATCTACTTTGTTTTAGTTTTTCAACAGCATGCTGAGCGGCGTTTTGGGCAAAACTGTCACGGAATAATGAAAACATTTTTTTGCAAGGTACGAATGCCACTGCAGTGCAAATAAGAAGCTGGCTAAGGAAAGAAGGAGCAAACTCGTCGTGAAAGAAAAAAGACTCGCCACGTTATATTCCCAAGCGCCCTGCCTAAACGATTTTAAAGAACCAAAATCATGTCATGAAGAAAAAACAGCCTCCCGCTCTAGTACTTGGACCGCACGCAGCTAAACAGCATCCGAAAGACGGCCGTCAGGACCCAGATGATGCACTTGAACATGCCCTTGGCGACCTTGATGCCGGCCCGCAGCAAAAACGGCAGCTTGTCCTCCTTTTCCTCGGCCCTGCTCCTCCTCTTGCTGCGGGCGCGCCGCAGCCGGCCACTGCTCTTTGCCAGGCTGCCGTCCTGGCTCTCCAAATCCATCTCAAACTCCTCCACCGGCCGCCTCTTGTTCTTGTTCTTCTTCCTGCCCGCGTCGTCGTTGCGACTGCTGCTCAGGCGGCTAAAGCGGCCGCTGCCACGACTCTCACTGCGTACGGCGGCGGCGGCGGGTGGCACGACGGGCGGCGGCTCAAACGTCTCTCGCGGCGGCGCCGCCGCCGTGCGCTCGTCCGCGGCCGCGACCAGCAGCAGCGCGGCGACGGCGACGTCGATGACGTAGTACGCCTCAATGTGCGCGGCCACGGCTGTGTCGACCTCGAGCCAGCCGGCGCCGGCGCCGCCGTCGCGCGTCAGCTTGGCCAGCGGCCGCGGCGACTCGTGGTGCTCGAGCGTGTACGCGACGCGCGACCACGCGGGGCACCGGTCGACGGTGACGCAAAACGGCGCCGCGAGCGCCGGGTGCACCAGGTAGTGCCGCGCGCTGTCGTCGTCCCACACGAGCCGCGCGCACTCGCGCTCCGCCATGGCCACGAGCGCCGGCTCCCCCGCCCGCTCCACCGCCATCTTGGTCGCCGGGTCCGGCATCAGCAGCGCCACCAGGCCGTCGCCCGGCGCGTGCCGCCGGGCCTCCTCCTCCAGCGTCGTGCGGAGCACCTGCTGCCAGTGCTTGGACGACGACGACGCGGGCTCCGGTGCCGTGTCCGGGCTGCTGGCGGCGGAAGATGACCGCCGCTCCGGCTTCTTGCCCGCCTTGTGCGTCTTGCCCGGGTCGTGCCGGGAGAGCGTGACCAGGGCCGAGGCAGAGGTCGGGTCGAGACGCAGCGTGTACAGCGGCTGCGAGGCCGAGGAGAGCGTGTAGACGGGCGCGTCGCGGCGCTGTGACAGCGCCAGGCAAAAGACGCGGCCCTCGGACGGCGCTGCCTTCCAGCCGTTGGCCGCTTTCCAAAACGTCTTGAGCTGCTCCGTGGTGCTCGTCTTGGGGATGACGGGCGGGCTGCTGCGCGTGTTGTTCGGGCGGGTTGGTCCGCGAGGCACGGCCGAAAACGCCGCCATGTTGTCTTGCTGCTGTTGCGGTGGCGGCGGCGACTGCTGTACAGGGAGCGGCGGCACCGGCTCTGTCGTGTAGGCCTGGCCAATGGTGGTGGTGCTCATGGCGTCCGGGTCGTAGTAGCTCTGCCGACTGATGACGGCGCGGGGAATGTGGGACGGGCTCATCTGTGTCGGCCCGTACGCTTGCTGGTCCAGCGGCAGCTCCGGGTTGTACGTGGGGAAGATGGAGCGAAGCGGCGCCGGCGGTGGCCCCCGGCGGCTGGAGGAGGACCCTGACGGGCCGCCGCCACTGCCGTCGTCCAGAGGCGGCTTAGCAATGGAGCTGCGGCGCCCGGGCGTCTCGGCGACGACGGGGTCAAACTGCAGAGGGGCCCTTTGTTGCGGCGACATGTCTGGCTGCTGCTGTTGCGGAGGCGATGATGGCGGTGGCGGCGAGTCCGAGTCAGAACACTGGTCGGGCGGCGTATATAACCTCGACTGGTGCTGTTGCTGGGAGTGGTCGTCGTCGTGCCGGGCCGCGCGCTCCCGCGACGACGCGGAGCGCTTCGGCCGGGGGTTGGGGTGTAACCGGATGACGGGCGGTGGCGGCGGTCTCGAGATGTTGGGGTTGGGAAAGAGGGAGAAGCCGTTGCTGTGCGCGCCACCGGCCCCAGGCTGCTGTGCGGCCATGTCGTGTATGTTTTTATGTTCCCTTTTTCCACTGGTATTCTGGGTTGGGTGAAATCAAATCGTGTAGCGTTTTTGTCACGCAACGTTCGTGGTCGTCGTATATATCGAGATGTGCAGGATCCGCGTGGCACAGAAGCGCCAATAGAAGGATAAAAATAGAATCCCAGGCCGGGAAAAAAAAAATCGGCCGATGAAATAAATGAAGCAGCAATATCCAGCATGTACGCCCTCGTGGTTTTTTTGGTGGAACAACCCGCCCCCTCCCCCCGGGGGTTCGAGACAAGGTCGCCTTGGCCGTGGTCCTGCGTTGTCGCGGTCCGGATGCCTGCGGAACCATAGAACGAGAAAGAAAAACAGGGGACGGGCAAGACGGGGGGGATCGCAGGGGCCCCGAATATGCAGAGATATGCAGAGAAAACGGTCGAGGAGAGCAGACGAGGTGTGGCAGCAAGGAAATGCGAGGCTGCACAAGACATGATATAAGTCTGTAGGCGCCCGCGCACCAGTAAGTCTCCGTTCAACCCCCATGTCTAGCTCCGACGCCGTTCTTCTCGCCGGCCGTGATTGGGAAGGAAAAAAAGGCAGCTAAAAGCCATCACCCCTCGCGCCTTTGGTCCGTCTCTCCTGGCAGGGCTTGTGCGTCCGTATGATTGGGTGCAAGGAGCCCGAACGCTGCAGGTCTGCACCACACTACGGCAGTGAACGAGGGGTGTGGGTGGGTGATCTATTCTTGTCCATGTACATTGTAGAGGTTTCCATTCAGCTGGATGGCCCATCTTAAGCGCCCAGCAGACGATCGGAGGACGGGGGGGGACCCCGGACGGTGGGACCGGACCGACCACTCACAAGCCCCGTCCAGAAGCCGCCCGGCCACACAATGGCATCATTGTCGGGGTGGAGCAAGACGATAGAACGCTGACGATTTCCTGTTCTCGTGTAACCAATGGCGAGACCTCTGCTAGCGCCCGGCCCATGTGGCTGGGCAAGTTTGGCGACCCCTGGACTTTGGGCCGGACGGGCACTCTGCGATTGCGGTCGGTCGGGACTTGCAGCAAGTCATTCTGCAAGGGTGCCATCGCTTGTCCCAGTTCAGGATGGTGTCCCATGTACATAAGACGGCGACTCTATGTGACACAAGAGGGCTGGGAGGTTGGTGTGCACAGGTTATACTGTGGAGAGAGGCGGGAATGGCCATGCCGGTACTTGATCGGATGGGCGCCTCTGCCGGCATGTATTTACATCAATACTGTATTTACAGCATACAATCGTTAGGCACTGGACGCGTTGGACAAGCCATTGTCGCCCCATGCCAAGACGGCTGATCCCATTTGCCAATCCAAGACATCTCGGCAACTTGGCCTCTGTAAATAAACCCGCTGCACCCGTCCTCTGCATCCGCCAGTGCCTTGCAGCGTCGCCATTTCTGCTCCAGAGGGTTGGTGATGACAAGGCACGGTGATGAAGTAGGGCAAGTATCCCGTTACTACTGCATGCAGTAAAAAAAAGGATAATATTCAACGCCATCCCAAGGTATCAATCATTCCGGAAAATCATCCAGTACTCTTATCCGCCAGAGTCCTACATCTCATCTCAACACATACCCGTGCTACTCTACATTTATGTCTCTGCCCACGTATGCGTGCTTCCTCTACTGCCTCGTCCCGGTCCCGTTTCCAGGCGCGACGTGAATCTGCCACCAGTGCGCCATCTCCTTCGGAAACGCCGCCTCGCGGTCCTCACTAACCCACGTGTCGTACTCCTCGTGCGTCACCGCCTCAGCCAGCAGGTCCCGCGGGGCGCCCGTGCGGACCGCGTCGAGGAACCCGGCCGTGACATCGACGTACTGCCGGAGCGCGGCGCCGACGGCAAAGCGCGCGCCAGTGACGGCGCTCAGCAGCAGCGGCTCGAGCAGCGGCGCGTCGGTGACGGACGGGTGGGCCGTGCCGCGGGCCGTGAGGAACCACGCGGCCGCGGTCCGGTTGAGGCTGTCGGCGACAATGTCGCGCACCGTGTCAAAGTGCGGCC